AATTTTAATATAAAACCAGTTCTGATTTTTCAACTATGATAATCCGGATTTAATAAAATGGTTTTAATAAACCAGTTTAAATCGGATAACCATATATGTATTTGACATTTGACAATTACATGCAACAAAATAGGCGTATTTTGTACTCCCAATTAGCCTTCCATTGTCAAAAAAAATTTTTTTTTTAAAATATTTAACGCAAAATTTCTTCTGGAAAATTAATTGCACAATGTAAATTTCCCAATTTGTATAATATCCTCGTTGCCAGTAGATAGTAATTAATTATAGCAATGAAAAAAAAATTCAACTTAGTTCATTCTTTACGAAAGTATTTTTTTTTTAATAATAAAAAAAATATATATAAATGGAAAACATACCCTCGTCTCCTTTTGAACCTAATTCTCCAATCGAAATTGATTCAGAAACCGAAACAGTTAAAAGTACTAGTAGTTTAAGTCAGAAAAAACGTCGTACAACCACTGATACTACTAAAACCCGCAATAATCAGAGTCATACATCTTATTTTTTTCGCTTGGATCCAGTTGATCCCTCCATTACTTATTGTAAAATATGTGCAGATAATTTGGCAGGTACACAAAAAAAACCTTATCCATATCATCGAAAAGGTGGAAATACAACAAATCTTATTAACCATTTGCGTGACAAACACAATATTTCAAAGAATAATTATTTGAATTATTTAGGTGTTAATAATGAGGTACATATAATACGTTCATTTTTTTGTTGCATCTTTTCTCATGAAATTTATTAAAAACAAAGAGTAAATTTTTTAAATATTTAATAGCCTAGGCGGGATCAATCTCAAATCACAGAATATTCCGTTAAATTAGCAACTCCATGTTCAACAAAATTACAAGATCTTATTACACAAAAGCTAGTTACCTTTATTGTTAAATTTGTTCAACCTTTATATATTTTACAAAATCCACATTTTCGCGAACTTCTTCTTACCTGTGAACCTGGTTACAAAATACCATGTGATAAAACAATAAAGACTATAATTTATGATTCATTCATATGGAGTAAAGCACAACTTCATTCACTTTTAAGTAATAATATTATTGCCATTCATCTGACTACAGACCTTTGGACCGCAAAATCGCGTCATGGATATCTTGGTGTGACAGTAACATGGTTAACATCTAACTTCGAATTTTGTGAAGCTCTTTTAACTTGCAATCACCTTCCTTATCCACATTCTGGGGAAGCTATTAGTGCTGAATTATTTCAAATTATAAATGATTGGCATTTATCAAACATAGCACTTACTATTGCAACTGACAATGGTTCTAATATGATTAAAGCTGTTCGACTCTTAGGTGAGAATCATTTACCACAAATAAGAAGACAACCTTGTGCTGCCCATACATTGCAACTTTCAGTTTTGCAAGGTTTAAAAGAATGTAAATCAGTGCATCGTCGAGTAAAATGTTTGCAAGCATTTTTTCGTTTACCAAAACAGGCTCAACGACTTCGAGAAGCTCAACAATGTTCTGGACAATTATTAGAAGAAAATAATAATAAAAATCCACTTGATGTCTTAACTGATATTAAGACTAGATGGAATTCTACATATTATGCTTGGAAAAGAGTATTAGAATTACATAATTCAATGCGTCTTGTTTCTACTACATTGTTAGCAAAATCAGATCGAATATCACAAAAAGAAGGAGAAAAATTGGAACGATTATGTTTATCTCTTGATGAAAAGCAGTAAGTTTAAAATAATAATAATAATTTATAGTTTATATAATTATTTAATACTAATTGCTTATTTTATTTTAAAGATTTCTTCAAGATATGATAAATCTTTTATTACCAATTGAAAGAGTAACACGTCGTATTTGTGGAGCTAAATATATTACTTTAAGTCTTGTTCATCCTTATATGGAATTATTGAAAAAAACATTTGCACCAAAATCTGAAAATGATGAAAATCTTGATACATATCTTAATCTTATTTATGGATCACAATCTGAGAATATTTATGAAGAGGAATCTGATAGTTTAAGTGATGATGATGAAATTCCATCTGGTGGATCGCGACAACATTGGCAATATGCTCATAATCAATTTCAAAGAAAGATGCAGATAACTAAAGGAAAAGGAAAAGCAAAAGTAAGAAGTAACAATAAAAGAAGAACAGATAATACAAATGTAGATGATATAAATTGTGTTGAATATTTACCAATTGCTGATATTACTGGTCTTCTTCAAAAGGTCCGAGCAGCTATTTTTTTATCATTAGATGAATTGTGGTTAATTCCAACAGATTTGGTTCAAATTGCAACAGTTCTTGATCCGCGATTTAAAAATTTTCAATGGAATGAAAGTAATGAAGAAAAAACTAATTCATATAAGTTATTACAGGAATTATATAATTCTGCAAAAAAGGATTTAGAACCAAATATTAATATACAACAAAATAATATTCGCAATTTAGATATGAATGATGATAATGATGATGATTTTTTTAAAGCTTTAGAAAGTAAAGAATTGAATGCAAATTTAAGAGAAATTGAAGATGATGAGGTTTTGCGTTATATAAAGCTTCAGCAAATTGATATTAAAGATGATCCTTTAAAATGGTGGGATGTAAACAAAAATAGTTTTATTATTTTGTCTCAACTTGCACGAAAATATTTGTCAATTCCTGCAACTTCTGTTCCCAGTGAAAGATTGTTTTCAGATGCAGGTAATCATATCTCTGCAAAACGTACAAAATTATCTCCAGATTTAGTTAATCAAATTTTATTTTTAAAAAGAAATAGCGATTATTTTGATATCTTTCCACCTCAAAATTAATATTATATTTTAAAATGTAATAAATTTTAATTGAATCTTAATAAATGATTTAATTGGCTGCACTTTAAGTAGCTTTAAATTTATTCTCTTTTAATGTATTTTGTATTTATTAATAAAGTAACGGTCATTGCAATTCGATATTATTAAAATCGCAAAACCGGTTGAAAC